ATTTTATTGCTGCCAAATTTATACAAAACATGCAGGTCATTAGATGAATCAGAACACTGACTTGGTGCCTCGTACAAGGAAGGCCATTGTGCAGTCTGATTTTGCCTTTGCAATAGTTTACATCAATCGCATGGTATTAAGTGCTTTTCTTTAAATACAAGACAGTAGAAGAGCAGAGCTACACTAATAGCAGTATCACTGCAGAAGTGGAGAAATATGATGTTCTCAAAATTTTAAGAGTGGCTTGGATGCCAAACACAGAACTTGAATAATTTAATAGAAGACACACTGGATGAAGTGCATAGGAGCTGCAAGATCAAAATTCTCTGCACTTTTATTTTTGATAGAATTCCTCATTGTAAGTTTACCCCCACCATGATAGGGCTCTTTATATACTGATCTGAAAAAACAGTCCGTGTTATGTTCTGAAAACTATTATGCCAGGAAAAATAACCCTCACTTTCAATAAACCCCTTAATATTTCCCTGGAATTACTGGAAACATAACACTGCAGTGCAGGCTTTTTGAAATTTCCAGTGCAAAGAAGTGTTTTGAGTGTATCTGCTAGAAAATTTCATAGGAGACACAAAGAAATCCCAATTTCTGTCATGACACACCTAAATCTGTGTACATGATGAACAGCAAACTGCAATTTCAAGGCTGCAGAAACAAACACAGGTTGCTCTATTTTTGGCTGCAAGCCTTCCATAAATAATTAAAATGAATGCATGGAATCACTGTAAAATTAATCAACAGTATAAGGAGTAAAATTATATTGAGAGCCTTTTACAGCATATGGTACAACTATCCTTCTAATACGTGCCGGAGTGTGTTGTCTTGTCCATGACATTTATATTCTCCAATGCTGGACATGCTTTGGGATACAGTTTTTGAGCTAGGAATTCACAGATCAGAACACATTCTTGTCACAGAGATGATGTTATTGTCTCTTTTTCGCTAGACAAGGTAAATAATACTAACACTGCAACAAGAGGAGGATGTTTGTTCAATTTCTCACTCAAAATATAACCCACTTTTTAAATAAAAATCTTGTTCTTGTTCTTCTTTTAGTGACAGTTCATTCCAAATATGTGGTTTTATTTTCATATGCTATTGTTTATTGCATTATTTTCTTTTCTGTAAAATACCCTGAACAGCAGGTAGAAAGATTTAAGATCATACTGCTAAAGTTTTATTGGTACTGAGTATTCTGGCATATAATAATATAACTGTTAAACAAAAGGATAAATAATAATTAAAAAACAAGTTTATATTTGTTTAGGTCTTTACTTGGACCCCAAAGTAAATACACACGCACACACACAGGTCTTAAGATTACATATTCTTAGGGCGACTTAATTTATACTGTTAATTTATATTATTTTAACGAAGTTTATTTATGTTTGTGAGCCACCCCGAGGCTTCGGCAAATGGGACGGCATAGAAATTTCCTAAATAAATAAATAAATAAATATTCTGTAGTATTGTAAAAGGCAATGATTAAAAATGGAATAGGAAATCCCACACAGTGTTCTTGTATTTTGGAGATTTATAACAGCTGCAGAATACTTGATGACAACTGAAACTGTGTTTTTATTAGGCAACATGGGTCCAAAAGGAAAAAGAGATGTGGCATACTATAGCTGCTTGTAAAAATTCAGATCAAAAGCAACTAAGCAAAACTATATAAGTTTAACTGATGAATCATGCCCATATTGGAGTAAAGTGTAATTTTTAATGCAAATCTGTATTTTGATTTTATATTTGTTTTTGGCTTCTGGCTAATACAGTAAAATTAGATGGACATTTTTATTTTATTTTTTGTTAAGAAAGCAATAAATATCCAAATTGGTTGATTTTTCAAGTTAGCTGGCCAGAAATAAACAGTCACCAAGGAAAGGATTTTGCCATCAGATGTTGTGATTAGATGGAAAATTATCAGTTCTTTCTCAAGAACTGACATAGCTATAATTAGATATATATGTAAGAAAATAACATTGTGCAAGAAAAAAATCCCATGCATTTTAAGTAACAGTAGAAAGTGGAATGAATTTAACATCTAACCAACTTTATACTGCACAATATTTTTATATCTCATCTGCAAGGAAAAGCTCATAGGAAAGAAAACAACAAGCACAATGTACTTTTTTTAGTGTGTGCTATATTGATTGTTCACCACATCTCACAAGGATTTATCAGATACACCTGTTTATCAGGTTCACTTATTTCCATGAAATAAGAGTCTATACTACAAATACAGGTGGTCTAAGATTATTGTAATTTACCATGTTTTTATTCTTTTGAATATTTGAAACTGGACAAAGTACATTTTGAGAGTTTATCTCATATATGAAAAACATTGCCCTTTTTACCAAGGCAAGAAAACACATAAAATACTACTAACAATAATTGGGAAGTGCTGTTAGCAAACTAAAACCAAAGATATGTGGCATTACTTTAACAGTTGCTGCAACTAGATGCTCAGCCTTGTGTAATCTGGCTGCATTGAAATGGTTCAAAACCCTGCTTTCTTTTTCTTTTTTTAAGAAAAAGGTGTTATGCCTTTTAAGAAAACCATCCAGCACACTAAATCAACAGAATTGTTACACTGAGCTAACAGCTTTGGAAAGTGCCCTTTGTAGTTCGAATCACTAGGTTTTCCAAGTTTGTTTATTTAAATCGGCAATAACACAAGGACCATACAAACGGAAAAGGTATGCTTGAAAGCACCTGTGGAATCACAGTCTGAATCATGCTTCTTCAACACTGATGCGTGCCGGTGCTATGCACCCCACTGGCTTCATGTTTTCCAGTGGGAACATCACCTATGACAATCGAGATGTCTGTGTACAGGGCTCCCACCTTGCAGGCAAGAAACAGGATTCTCAGTCATGTGGAAGAAGCCCTGTGCGTGCGCAGAGGGGAAAAGCTAGAGGTGCTGTTCACACAGAAGCAAGCCCCCGGCTGCTAAGGCCGGTGCAAGCACTGCTGCGAAGGAGCTTGCTAGCCCTCTCATGCATACGTTAAGTACACGGAATTTTGTCTCAGCAAAAAACAAAGCAAATGGGGCAGATTTCCAAAGAGAACGAAGAAGTAGACTCATTAATAAAATATATCATTCTTTTCAGTGCAGATGTACTCTGGAAGGGTTTCCTGGCTTCAGCAGCACATTTTAGAAAATAAAAGCAGGCACATACTTGCATGCATACACCCAGACACTCGACTGCCACTGGTTCAATTGTTCTCTGTATAATGAATGCTTTGTCTTGCTTAGGACAAAGTAGATGGAGTTTATTTCAGTGTCACTTAAGTGCATCAACAAAAACTCCATGTGAATTAATGGGTTCAACACAGTCTGAAGCAATCGTAGATGCCAAGACAAAGTTTCTGCTCGCAAGAAAGGTCATGTCTATCTTTATTTTAAAGTGCCAGCATTCCGCCAATTTTCCATTTTTTTAAAAAATAGGCACAAGTCAATTCCACAAGTTCATACCCAGAATATACATCTAGAGCTTCTTCCCAACTGCAGAACAATGGCATCCCATCAAAATACAATAAGAAGCTAAGCCTATTTATGGCAGGAGAGAAGAGATACAGGTAAGGGCTCACTGACTGTATTCTATGTGATGGATTACAGGGAGAAGAGTATTTGAAAAACTGGTATTGTTTATATATGTAACTTCTATACTGCCCAGTAGCTGAAGCTTCCATTCTCTGAACTGGTTGGCCTGATTCAGATAGCAATCTTTTTCTGATTATCATCATCATCATCATCATCATCATCATCATCAACATTTCCATACTGCTTGTAGCTGACGATCTCTGAGCGGTTTACAACAATAATCATAGAATCATACACTCAAGTCACCCATCCAGATTCTACCCAGGCCTGACCCTGCTTAGCTTCCAAGATTAGGCAAGATCAGGCACATCAGTCTATATGGAAGTATATAAATATAAACCATGTCATGGATAGGACATTTTGGAAAGCTTTTATTCATAGGGTTGCCATAGGTTGGAAAGGATTTGACAGCACGTAACAACACCTGATAAACTAAAGCTAATTGGTTTGGGAAAGAGGTATGTTCCTGTATCTTCCATCTTTTCTACTTTCTTCTCTTCTTATGACCCAAGTGTCCAGCCTGGGTGAAGGTATCATGGTTCCTTAAACCACAATTTTCCTGTAATGTCTGAAATGGAAAACTGTCCTTCAAAGGTTTCCTTAAAACCAGGGTACCTTCGCTGAAATGCACAAGGCAAAGAGAGAGCAGACAGCTTGTTCTATGTCTAGTAAACTATGATAATTGCTTCTGAACCAGCCTCTTGTAAATGTTTGACTTCTACAGACATTTCCACACATCTATTTCCCTATCAGAGATAGTGTTACAGGATGGCCCCAAATCTCTGGAAGACCACCCGTCCCATCTCCCGGCTGCCAGTGGGCAGTAATAGACACAGGGATTCTGAAGAGTTCTGGTGGATATGATACCTTGGATTAGTTCTCCCTCACCTTCCCCATCCCAGGAATCTTTCTGCCTCCATTTTTTCTCCAGAGATGAAATACCCTCCTCTCCCCTGCCTATATAATCCTTTTTAAATTGGGGTATCCTTAGAAGACAGGGTCCCGTAAAAGTACACAAAGACTTTAGAGCATATGCAAACTGCCGTATGCAAATCTGTGCTTGTTTTGGTCCTGTGGATCTGAGGTCCAGATCTTTTTAGTGTCAGTAACACCCCTGCTCTGTATGAGATGCAGAAAATGCTCATGCCTTAGCAAGGCAGCAACATGCATCTCCCCTGGAGACGTTATTAACCCTTGGCAAAGACTCTGCATGTTTGCTTTCTGCCCGTCGCCTGGGGCACGGCCAAGCCCTACCCGTATGGCCCAGACTCTAGCAATGGGTGCCCCCCATCAAAAGCTTCCTTATGCTAATGGATTAGTCAACAGAAGCCATCACATTGACCACCTCCCCCATCAGATTATTGGGCGAAGTACGTACTTTGCCAGTTGCTTCTCAGCATCAGCACAGAGCTCCAAGAGGCCCATGAGCACAGCGGACACATCCATGTAAGGCTCCCATACGGTAAACCCCCGTCCTATGAGATCAATGGCGGTTCTTCTGATGGTGCTGTGAGGAGGAAGTTTGGGACTGGGAGGCTGCAGCAGAAGATACGTCAAGGCCTTGCCTGCCACACAAGAAACATTAGAAAGCCGGAGTCAGGAAAAAGAGATCAAACATAGATTACTGTGGTTTAAAGCCCACTCTGTGGGCAGCTTTCAGGCTTATGGGATTTAATGTTTTGCTTTGTTTTTTAACTAGAACCCAGAGGTCCATTCACTGTCAGGAATAAAACAGGAGTCTCCGCAACTGTTGAAGCCAGATGCAAAACTGTGACTCGAAGGATGGAGCCGGCCAGTTAGCCACTGTACTGTGGGAGATGCATTGGGATTACCTGCATGTACAAGTCCAAATTTATATCTCAGTTACTGGTGCGGAGGGATGCTAACACACAAGACTATCTGGCAGTAAAGCTGCATGGAGGACTAGTGAAGGACAACCACCATTAGTGTCCAGATTTTATGAGGAGGAACACTGAAGCTGAGAGAAAAGTGGTAAGTGGTAAGGCCAGCCATGGCAGAGATGTATATACACGTTTCTGAAACCTGACTTTTTTACTTGCTGTATTTAAACTACTGGGAATCAGACCCTGATCTCCTTTTGGTTGTCCTTTGAGTTGCATGTTAAAATGTTTGCTGTCGATATCCACCATACCAATATCCAAGGAGAACATTTCAGTAGGGTGATGTGAGAATTCAAACAGGGGTGCTTTCATAAGCCAATATCGCTGCTTGAAGTATTGCAAGTCACATTGCGTGGGGATAACCTGTCTGCCTTGATTCTCCATGGATCCCATCTTCTCCTTCCTTCCCGAGAATACAGCAAAACAAAACTTGGGGGCATGCCAAGAAAGCCCTTAAATTCTTTTTAGCATTAGTATTAAGGTGAGCAATTTCGATTGGAATCAAAGTTACTTGCATTTATGTGGACTCACACCCCAACTACCTCTGACCACCACTCCCTGTTGTATACACTGGTTAAGAACCTGAATAGGAGGTAGGGAGCCACCAACTAAAACCTTGTATCTGCTATAAATTCTTTAATCTGAACCTTTCTCCCATGTTTAATATGGAAGTAATGCTACTGTACACCATGGCTGTCTGGAAAAAGGCACTATGAAAAGCACAACATAAATCCAAACTGTCATAACTGTTCCAGATTCCTCCTACAGGTTGTACCATCTGTTCTGCTCTAGGACTAAGCTTCAGGAGTTCCTACATGCACAAATTAGGTGGGGAATGGGGGTTTAAATTGGGGCTTTGCCAGTTGAGCACTGCAGCCTAAGGAAGAACTTGGGACCAAAACTTCTTAGTCAGACTTCAAAGGAGGTACACATACATCTAACTTGCACATATCTAGTGGGATTAGACAGCAGAAGAAATGGCAGAGAATAAGGCACACACAGTATCTCTCTAAGACTAGGAAAGAAAAATCTAAATTCTGTATCACAAATATTTGTTTTAAGCATTTTACCTGGCTCTTTAACTAAAAAGGTTCCCAAATCAGCTTACCGTAAGATCGAGAACAAACAAGGCAGTCTGTGCCCTTGAGCTCACAATCTAAAATCCGTGACACAGAGGGAAGAGGAGAGGTGAAGGAGGGGTGAAGAATGCAAACTCCAGGTGCTATTTGTTAAAGGTATACAGTTCTTAAATGACCAGCTTGAATGGAACTAGCGCAGGGGGATGCAGAGGCTGATGGAGCTGGTCAAGTCAGCAGATCCGATGCTGCTTTCCGTTTGACCCTTGCTTTGGCCAGATGGATGGGATGGCTTCCTCCAAATAGCACACAACAGTGCAGAGTATATGGAGATGAGCCCACCTTCTTGTTCAGCTTGTGCATTTTGTGACTATGGGGCCTGCTAAGGTTTCTCCGGCGCGCATGCCTTGTGCTGTATTACGAACGCCAGCTCGTTGGCTGAAAATAATATGTGTCAGCAGTACTCTGAATGAAAACACATGCTTTAATCTAACCATTCTGAAGACGCGATGCGAAAAAGCAAACGAAACATGAATTTAGGGTTTCCTTCTATCTTGTCAATCTGTAAGTAATATAAATTGCACGCATGTGGAAAAACAAGGAATCCAGGCTTATTTTTATCTGGCCTTTGTACCTATGCTCCCACACACTTTGTCAGGTGTGGAATACAAGAATCCACTTGAAATATAAAAGATGGTATGAGTCTTCTCTGTGGCACAGTCCAGATTGCACTGTCCCTCCAAAAAAACATGAAGGCCATCACTTGGCACTGTGTAGATGTATTAACTGCATGAATTGGTACTTCCGCATGGAATGTGTGTGCGTGTGCGCGCGCGCGTGCGCAGTGCATGTGTAGATAAGGATGCTGCCATTTACACAACTGTGGCAGCTCAGAAAAGGGCCACTGCGATGTGTTGAGTGGACAGCAGCTGCAGCTGCATCTCCACCCACAGTATGGAAGCTGATTCATTTAGCTGGCACCTCCATGTTGTACCAGGTGGAATGTGTGGCCACTGACAGACCAGGGCCCCATGGGCAATCACACAAGTGTCTGCATAGGGCCAAAATCTGTACCACACATGGGGTCCAAAGGAGCAATGGAGCTTATTTCAAAACTGATGCTAAGGAACTGCCTTGTGTGTGTTATTCTGTAGAGCAAAGGGAAACAAAAGGGGTGTGTGAACCCTCTGAGAGGAGCAGGCCAAACTCCTTGAAATTTGGTTTTTCCACGATCATGCTTTTTCAAAACAGCCCCGTATAGCTCTGCAATGCCTGATTTTTCTGCAAATTTTCAGACCTACCTTGGAAAGGGCAAAGGAAGTATGGGATGAGCCAAAGTGGGGAAGCACGTGTAACTCTCATGAGTGGAATGCACTCGTTAGCTACCTCTCATGCACACACCAAGCTTGACAAAGCAACTTTTTCAACTTGTCATCTCCCCCCCCCCCCCCCCCCCCCCGCAATCTGCTTTAAGTGCAGTGGAGGGAGAAGGGTGAGAGGCAGAATAATGCGAATACACATTATTCTTTAACAACTTGCCAGTGACATCATCTGAGAAATCACTAGACAAGGCTCTTGATCTATAGAAACAGTGATGTCTGAGATTAAATGTTAATGAGTAATGGTTCAAGAGTGGAGTGGAGGTAGCCTAGCCTTTAAAACTTAGCCCTGTAAAGATCGCCCATGAATATGCTCTGTGCAGCCACACACTAAAGCATTTTTTTTTACTCTGACTACAAACTGTTGCTCCCACAACTCCTCCAGTGACAGCAGTGGGCTGCACAGACCCTCCCCTCAATAGCAGCTCCATCCTTCCAAATGAAAACACAGAAGCAGAACATTTGTGTTAGTCTGAAATTCTGGTAATAAGCTCAGGGACAGAATTCATTTGTACTTTGCATTTCACAGCCACCTTTTCAAAAAGCAAAGTGACAAGAGGAGAAAAAAGCACAAGCAATAAGGGAAGGGAATTTTGTTGCTGCCCTCCGCTGAGATGTTTGTAAACCATAGTGCTAGATATATGTCAGTTCCACTTTTGCAGCAAAATGATTGCAGCAAAAGAGAAGGGGTTCAACTTTGCCCTTTCCATGGCAAGCAGTCTAACAAAGGAGTTGCACGTCACCTTCCCACTATTTGTGGATCCAATGTTCTAAACCATCACCAATATGGTGCCAGCTTTTTTGAGATATTTTTCTTCCATGTTTGTCGTTCATTGCAGCAGCATTTGGTAGAAGATCAACTATGGCCTGGGTTAAAATACATAAATGGCTTGAGGAAATGTTACAAAAACCTTTAACATTTAAACCTAGAGTTTTTCTATTAGGCGTTATTCCTGATGACTTTGATAAACAAGCTATATACCTGATTCTACATGTAATTACTGCGCCGAGGATTGTATTTGCCCACCATTGGAGGAGTGAAGAGCCAACTATTGAAGAACTGATCTTAAAAAATATTTTGGACTGCGCAGAAATGGACAGATTGACCTTGTCTCTGAAGGAAAAGGAGGATACATACTTCTATCAAACTTGGAACTTTTTTTTACTATTGGCTAGAGAAACGAGACTATGTGTAGATTTGAATACGGTTATAGACTTTTAAAAAGAGTGAGATGTTGACCCAGTATGTCCAGTGTCTTAAATGATTGATGTTTTTAATGTTCATTTCTAGAAAAAATAATAAAATTTATTTAAAAAAAAAAAGATCAACTATGGTATTCCCTGGTGAAATGTGATGGGAAGAAGAAAGGAGAACTTCTGTTCATTCCTACGAATGATGAACTTATGTGAACCTTTATCTGATCCTTCTAGTCCTTCATTTTCCCATTCTTCCCTTGCTACAATCAACTGAATGGGCCAATTATATAGGCCAATTCCTTTGTCTAACATACTTACAAAGACCTATTTTTTAAAAATCGAGTACATTTTGTAATGAAGTTTGACAAGTGTGTTCTGCAAGGCATTGAACTCAAAACCAAGGTGAAAATGCTTCATCTGGTCCAATCTATAGCTAATAAATTCTGGTTAATATTGAGCCAAAATGGGAAGGCTTGGGCTATCCACGCAGATACCTGTATTCCTCTTAAAGTACTTCTCTTAGCACCACTCAAAGAAACTCATTACAAAGTTGAGAAGTGGCAATCAGCTTGTGAGCTTCTCAATATGCCTTGAGTGAAAAGTGGTGGAAGAGAACTGGCACAGAATATTTGCTTGAAAAGTGTGGGCAATAATCTAGTAACTGTTACTAGTTAGTAGAAAAAATGCCTGGGGACTAATACAACAGAGAGTAAAGCAATATAGTATAAACCGAGAGTAGTACCCCTAACTGCTGGGCAGGATATTACAGAAGTGACTGACACAAGAGAGATGTGTTACTGCTGCCTTTAGCCATCACTTGTGGGAGTCACTTTATAATTTTGCCAAATTAGAGAAGCTTAGAGCAACTTCCTATCTTTCTTCTCTTCTGGTGGCACTCTGGCTTGAAAACAGAGGTTGCTCTTCTTGGATCATATTACCATAGCAATGCCTTGAGAAGGAGAAGGAGAACCTTTCACCATGTTGAATTTTGCATCATAATGACATGGGTGTT